AACCAACTGATAAGTTTTGAAGCTTGAGTCATGGATAATAAAACTTATCGGTTAAATTTTTTAAAATGAGATAATTTTTTTTTGTTTTAGTATTTTGAAGTTGACCAATTGTTACTATAAGCAATTAATATTAATGATTATAGATGATCTGCACCGTACGAGAGATGAAAATAAACGCAAGCTATAAAATTAAAGGTAATTGTTCAACATTTTGATTGTGGGTTTTATGTTACAACAACATCTTACTGATAAATTTAAAAATTCCTTATAAATTAGATTTCATGATAAATTGTATATATATACAATTCAAATTTTTTTTTTATTTCAAGTTATAAAAATAAAACATTTCACAAATATTAGATGTGTGGTTACAAATATCTAATATTTGGAAATTCAGGATGGAATTTCCATTTCATCCCCTTTATCATCATCATTGTTATTGTATGTTTGATTGAATAAAACATTTTTTAAAACTTGAGAAATTAATCCATGAGCTGCTTCAACAGTAATTTTGGTACTTTGGAATTGACAATAAATAATTAGCAAATATATAATTGAAAAAAAAAAAATAATTAAATAGAATAGTTAAATTTAAATCCATCTAAACATATATATATATATATATATATATATATACCTATCTCTAGTAATCTTTCCAAGTGGAGTTTCTTCCTTTTTCTTTTTTTCAGTAGCAGACGATGTATTGTTGGTATTATTGTTACTATTACTGCTAGAAGAGGAAGAAGCTGCAGCTGATGTAGATTGGGCACCAGTTGCATTTCTTGTACCACCACTTCCACCACTGCCACCACCACCACCACTACCACTCATGCCACCTGGAAAACCAGAAACTCTTCCATTTTGTTGTATTTGTGTTTCAGTTTGATCTAATTTTTCAGCAAGATCATATATTTGACCTGCTGAATACTCTCTATTCTATATAAAATTGAAAATAAATAAAAATCATTATTTTAAAATATGATGATAATAAACAGCAACAACAATATCATTATTATTAATACCGTAATTAAAGGAGATTGTGACAATGTATTGACCCAATACTTGTTCCAAAGTAATTCTAATAAATATGTATCTAATGTAGACTTAAAATGCGAAATTTCAAGCTGATAATATCTATATAAAAAAATTTATTACACACATAAGTATTATCCATTGAAACATTATGATTTAAAAATAAAGATATATATTTTGAGTGTAATGATAAATAACAACTCACTGTTTACAATGAACACCAAAATCTTCAATTTTACTCAAGGGAATGGTTTGATATTCAGATGGACCATCATCTGGAGCTTTATAACCCTAATAAAAGATTTTTTTAAAAATAATTATATTTATGTATATATTTCTTGAAAGGAAATAATTTATTTACTTGTGGGTAAGTTCTAAATGCACCAATTTCAACCTTTCCTGCAGATATTGTACGATTAGGATCAATCTTTACAAAATCAAAAAAAAAAAAAAATAAACATTAGATAATTTTTTTTTATCATATCCATTAATAATACTAATAATTCATCTTAAATTTATTTTTATAATTTACCACAACAGCAACAAATGGATCTTGATATTGTTGATTTGTCATTTGTGTGTTTACATCAATACCAGAAAGCCAGCAGCCATAACCTGGATGACTATGATACCATCCTACAATATTTTCTGCCCTTCCAACCTATTTTTATAAGTTGATTAAGAAAATCACACAACACATTTTTTTTATTTCCAATAATGTTTATTGAATACAAACAAACCTGTTTTATAGTCATTAGGTATTGAACCATATATTCATAAGCTTCAGCTTGAGCATTCACTCTAGTTTCGGTACCTTCAACAGGTAATGCAAAAGCATCCATGATAATTATAGTATCGCCACTAATTTTTCCTTGCATTAGACCCATTACTTCAATATTTCCCCCAGAACGTGCATGTATAACCTTTTTTTCAAATGATTATAACTAATATTATGATTGGTTTTTTTACCTTGAACTTTATAAAACAAATAACTATTTTTTTTACCATTTTTATAAGGGCCACTGCTGAGATCTTTACTTTTGTAAAATGATGAATACTGTATTTTATTATTAACGATGAAAAGTATAATAAATTGCAACAATCACATTATATAACCACATGAATAAAATACAAACTCTCTTGTCCATGGTTTGTCATGATTTATTTGTTCTTGTTCTTGGCTGTTATAACGATATATTTCATCAGCAGCTGGGTCAACTGTCATGATATTATTCGAAAATTCAAAATTCTTGCGAGCTATCTCAGTATCCATTATTATTATTATTATATAGAATGATAAAAAAATTAACGTTGAACTGCGCAACTATTATTTAACTTTTTTATCTTCAAATATTTGTAACATTGAACGCAGAACTCCTTTTTTGATTGGATAATCGATGTCACAGGAAGCATAATGGAAATTTGAAATGTTACACTAATTTTTTATATTGTGCAACGTAGCTTTACAATACACGGCAAACATTCTGGCAATAAAAAGTAAGTGATAAACTGGATTTGAATTGGATCTGAACTTGATCTCCAATTTAGAGAGGTAACAACTATATACTGGCGAAGTTTCAGAAGCAATGAGTTCTGTATAACGTTTCGTGTAACAACAAACTTCCACTATGCTGGATAGAAATGTAAGGAATTTATTTGGTCAGATGATGAGTATGGTGTAACTAAAAAAACTAAAAATACCCAATCTATATATCAGTCAGGGAATATGCTAAATATGGAAATCGATTCTGGAAAAATTGTAATCCTTTTTGTTGATCAATTCATATATATTACAAATACTTTTGTATATGTTGAACAAAAAAATTTTTTTAATAAAATTCATATATAAAAGTTGAAACAAATTCTTCTGAATATATAACCTGAGGATCTCTAAGAATCCCTGCAAATTTTACAAGATATAAAAAGCTATTAGTTGAAGAAAATTTCATTTTTTTCATTATTTAAGTTCACATTCAAAGTTATTTATCATTTCTTGTAACTTTATACAAAAATTCTTAATAACCATAGGAATAAATAAAATAGAACTTCTAGTTTCTAAGATCTTTTAATAGTAAGTTCTTGATCTCATGTATTGATTTAAAAAAATAATTTTGTTAACCAACTATACAAATTTCTTATTAATAGTAACCATAGGGATATATAGAACGAACTTCTAGTTGTCTATTAATGAATATGCCATAAGTTTGCTTTTATCTAAATTTACAAACATTTACATGTAATTATGGGGGACGAAACTAATTACGGGGAACAAAATTAATTATGAATAACAACAGATTAATTATAACGGGAGTGACTTGTATTATGATATTTCCAATATATACAATATAATGAATATAATAAATGATTGAGTCATGTGATTTTATAATCCCGTGACACCAAAAAATATCATTGTTATTTGGGATTTGAAAATTTGACAGTACAATGTAGCATTTGATGTCTTTAGATGGCACGCACTATATTAATACAACTACTAACTTTTGGAACGTTCTCGACCTCCTTCCGGGGACATGAACAAATAAGATTTGATCTATATAGTTCATGCATTATTTACTCATGTAGACAGAAAATTGATGAGAAACAAATATTTGCCATTAATGAATTAGAAAGTTTAAAGAACCAAAGAGTAAGTATTACAGCAGATGAATCAATAAATGCTTGTGGATGTGCTGCAGTTAATATTTTATTTAGCTTTCATGAATTGCTGCCTTGAGACCGTCTGTTAATAATGCTACAATTTCTCAATTGATAATTAACACAGCTAATTAATTTGATATTTCTTTTAAAATATTATATCTTTCATTTCAGATAATGCTGCATACATGTTGAAAGTTTTATTCCAAAAATGAAACATGTATTGCTCATATATTAAATTTGTAGGAGAAATGTGAAAAGTAGGAAATATTAAACCATTATTTGCACATAATCTAGCAAGAAAAAGATGAGTTTCATTTATCTCTCGGTAATATCTTATCTTCTCCTTTACTAAATGGAATTCCTGGCTCAATAAATTGTTTAAAAAATCTTTTGTTGCACGAAACTTAATACTAATTTTTAGTCCAAGAAAAATCCAGCCAATAAGTTCTAATTAACATTTTTGAAATGTTACAATGTTTTTTTAGTATTTTATAAACAATTTTTGATTATAGACGATCTGATGAATAAATCTATTATGATAAATCTATGAACAATTAAATATTGCGGATTACAAGTCTTCTCCTTATAAACCACAACTTCATCATAGTTTAAATTCCCAGTTGAATTAGGTTCAATACAGAACTGTGCCCATATGGAGGCTTATTCAGCTTATCATTGTGCACTGTATGAAAAATATAAAAAAATTTACACGATTTAAAATCTACAGAACCGTGCGTGACACGGGGGTTTCAATTTTTTATTTGCGTTAAAAAAATGAAAAAAATAATATTATTATATCTTTTACATATATAGCATATATAAAATAACGGAATTAATGTATTATACGTTTTCGTTGGTTATAACTATCGAAATATGGATGATACAATGCTAATTTTGCTGAAATTCGTTTGTTGGGTTCATAAACCAACATATTCTATGTATATAAATTACATATAATTGTTATTGATCCGTCTCTTATGTGTGTACAGTATATATAAGTAAGTATATAAGTATATGTGCATACACACCTCTAATAAATCAATTGCTTCATAGTTCAGGTTGGGAATACGTGATTTTAATGGTTTTGCTGCCCAATTAGGAAAAATTACTTTATAATTTGGTAGGTTGGAAACTCCAGGCCATGTATTTTCATTTGGCGTACCAAGTAAACTTGTTTTATAAAATTTTATGCGGGGCGAGAAGAAAAAAATCATTTAATATTAATATAATATAAATGAATAATTATATATAGAAAAATCATATACCTGAATATTTTAAAAAGTTGATCTATTTCACTGCCACCTAGTTAAAATTTTTTCCAAAAAAATTTTTCTTATAGTTCTTAACTCTTATCATCTTCACCATTACCAGAAATATATTTTAAATGTATACATACCTCTGAATAAAGCGTCCTTCAAAAACATTTCAGCAAATATACAGGCTACACTCCAAATATCTACACCAGTTGAATATTGTTGACATCCAAGAAGTATTTCAGGGGCTCGATACCATAAAGTTACAACCTACAATAATAATAATATTATATAATAATGATTGTAATAATTAGGATTTATTATAACAATTATTCATAAATCAGACCAATTGATTGATATAGGAATAAATGGATATTACCTCATGAGTATACGCTTTTATTGGAAGACTACATACTCTTGCTAATCCAAAATCCGCTAGTTTTAAATTTCCATTAGAATCAATCAACAAATTATGTGGTTTCAAGTCGCGATGAAGAATTCGATTAGAATGGCAAAAACAAACACCATTCATTAATTGCCACAAAAATTTCTTTAATAATTTAAAAAGAGATCGAGATAGATTATGATTAATTGATTAATCGATCAATTAATGTAATTTCTAAATTGGTTGATCTAATTGGTTACTTACTTTGACAATAATTTCTGATAATCCATTATTTTTTATATACTTCTTTAAATCTGTTTCAAGATATTCAAATACCAAATATATATTATTTTCAGATTGAACTGTATCTAATAATCTATCAATTATAATTAATAATTATTAATAAGATTTAACAAAATCAAACATCATCCACCACACACAAAAATTCCTTCCTCTAAAAAAAGAACGCCTTACTTCACAATGTTCTTATTATTAATTCTCTTTAGTATTGATATTTCTCTAATGGCTGTATAAGGTATGCCTGGCATACTACTACCACCACCAGCAAACTGATTTTGTATACGAAATTTTTTTAATGCAACAACGCATCCTGTTTTTTGATCTCTGCCTCTATATACCACACCAAATGTCCCTGTTTTTATTGATTTTATTGTTATAAAAATAACCATAATAATAATAAGATAATAAAATAAATTCTTTAAAATTTGATTTATTTATGGCTCGTGAATTCACAATATTGTTAAAAAAACTAACCTTCTCCAACTTTTTCAATCTTTATGTACCTATCATCCATATTATTATATATTTTTAGAAATTGAACTTATAACATATATATATATTAAAATGTGAAAATATAATTATGTACAAGAATAGTGTGTGTGGGCGAGAATGATAAAAATAGAAAGAAAGCTTGAAAAATAATTAATTACATAATTATAATTGTATATATTAATATGGGACATACTGCAACAAAACCAGACAAAGCGAACATTATGTTACACGGTTATTGATCATCAACATACGGACGCGATCTCATAATACCAACGAACAAGAATTGGTTAATGGTGGTTATGACAATAATGATAACAAAGATGAAGAAGACGAGGAGATAGAAGAAAATAGTGATAATGGCGAGGAAGGAAATAAATCCAATAATACAATTGAAGAGAGTTTTTCTTGCAAAATAAAAAATTTTTTTATATATTAATATATGGTTGGTTCGGTCTAAAGACCTCCTGTTGCTGCGCCACGCGCTCAACAAAAATTGCGATTTCGTGATTCGTTCAAAAATGCAATGAAAGGTCTTCACGTGATTTTGTTAAACAATTATTTTCTTCCTGCCAAATTTAGATATGATTGTCGATTGTTAGTCTAAATTTAGCAATGATCCTGGCACATGAGCATAATAAAGTGCATGTTTTAAGAATAGAACTCTACAACAAATAATTTTTTTAGAAAATATCTCTATTACATTAAAATTAAAGACTTATTCCATCAATTAATAGAGCTCTTTTTAAAAGGTAGGATAGAACATGACTTCTATACTTTTAAAATTTGCACAAAATTTAGGTCTTTAGAATGTGCTAACTATATAATTCAAAAAATAGTTTAAATCAACATGAAACACGAAAACATTCTAATTATCATGAGTATCCTTTAAATGTCCCTTCTCCTTCAGAATTTAAAAGATCATTAATTTTTAGTATTGACCTTACATCATAGAAGTTTAGGGGAAAAGTCATTGACTATTCAATGTGGTGAGGGTATGTTATTAAAGGTGATATTTGCCTGCTAGACATTCTTATCTATGTTGATTCATTGGAGAAGAAGGCAGTGAAAAATTAAGAGATTTAATTGGTGATGAAGATTGGGCAATTAGGTATTATGTATGACAATAATCAATATGTTTATGCAGATATTATTAATAATCCAATAAAAGTAGTATGGAAGGAGGTTGAGTTAGTAGAAGTCAATGGTATTAGTATTTCTTCAAATATAATTAATTTTTTAACAAATAAAGGATATGATATTTTTTTAGGGAATTGTTATTCGCACCCCTCCCGTGACTAAGTGTAGTAATGTGACCAATGAATGGCTTTAAAATGTGATGATTTTATTGGTTCATCTTTGTTTTAGTCACGGGAGGGGTGCGAATAACAAAAATGGGAGGTGCGAATAACAATTCTCTTTTTTTATTAATGTTCTTTTGTAATTTAATATTTAATAATGAAAATAATTAATTCAATTAAAATATTTTTAGAATTAAAAGATATATATATAATTATAAAAGGTAATCTAATTGTTTATATTCAATTTATTATATTTTTAATGTTTTTAATGGTTGGTATTTGATTATAATTATAATATAGAAAATGATTTTCATGTTCTAAAGCCTTTTTTTTGCTTTCTACCTATACAAGTATTTTGACACTGTCATAAAGGGGGTTACACATGCCATAAAGGAGTGTTATTAATAGTGAGTGCTGTAATTAATTTCTACTTTCTATCATCAAAATCGGAATAATTTTGACCATTGAAATCACCAAACCAATTTAGGCTGCGTGTATATTTCTATCATTTTCTAAAATATTGATTTATTTGCATATGTTTTTTTTTTCAACAGGACTACATGTGAATGTCTCAGCTCCATAATTGTGATGATCATCATAAATTCATACATGATGAACCAACACATGAATATAAGTCACATCATTATTTGTATATATCCTTTTATATAATTATTTTCACATGGATCACCAATTGATGATGTAAGAAATTTAGCCAACCATAATTTTTAAAAGCAATTAAGTCTGTTTTAAGATCTTGTAAGGCTGTATAAGGATTACCAAAGTCATTCCACAACTGATGGATAATGGTTGCTCTATTTCCAGGTAAAATGTTTTCTAAATTATAATTTTTTAGAACTTTAATTTATCTCATTGTCAGCTAGTGGGACAAAAAATAAAACTTTCAAACCATTATACATAAGTTCCCTCCAGGAGTTCACATATCAAATCGATTTCAGGCCACATAACTGTGGTACAAGTGGTCCAAAGATGGTACAAATATCATAATTGTACCAAATTCATTACCCATATACAACATAATAAAACATCCAAAATCATATCAAAATCAATATCAAATTATTTGGTACAAGTGGGCAAAGGATGATTTTCAATATTCCTATCCACAACTCCCTTAAATATATAATAATTTTTCGATTTTTTCCATTGCCTCTTTGTACCAATCTACTTTTCTATCCAAAATGCATTAATTTATCTTCCAGAACCTCAAATCCAATACTTTCTTGGTACAAGGACGAATTTGTACCATCTTCAACTCGCTCTTTGTACCAAATTTTTACATACTAATTTTTTGAATTGAACATACCCATACTATAAATATCTGAGTAGATGTTTGACCAGAATTTGCAATGAACTAATTTGACCAATAACAAAAAAATGAGTGTATTCAGCACATCTAATAAAGAATTCAATGATTTACACCTTAGATCCCTTCTTGCTTCAGCTAAAACTCCTCAAGAATTGCAACCAGCTAAAGTATATTTATTGAGATATTTGCTTGTGCTGATGTGGGAGTATATAGATGGATGCCAAAAACTCAAACTGTTAAGCATTATAATAAAAGAGATGCTTGTGAATCCCTTATTCCATGCGGCACTAAAAAGTTTACTAATGATGAGGGTGAAGTGATAAATAAATTTAGTTTTCTATCATGGTTTTAAATAAGACTCCATTCTTTGCCCTTGAATTTAATACATCTCATCCTCGTGTCTATCAAGCTCCAGATGGTGGGTATTATATTAATCAATTTCTTCATCCTAATCCACCCCCATTCTATCAATTTAGCAAAGAAATCCAGGATCAGGTAAAGTTATTAATTACTTAACCATATGAGAGAAGTCCTTTGTTCTTCTGATAAAAAGCAAGAACTCTATATGATGGGATTAATTTCATGAATAGCTACTGACCAAAAAATGCAAAAATCAACGTTTCTCTATTTAGGTCCAGGAACTGGTAAAATAATGCTTATATGGTTCCTCTGAGAAATGGTTCTTGGCCCCAAAATTACTCATAAATTTTCTAATGAAAGAATTATTACCAGGCAATTTATAAAGAATTGGAAGGTGAAGTTTTACTTGTTCTTGAAGAAATGTCTAACTCAAAGTCTGGTGACTGGATAGCATTTGCAAATCGATTTAAAGACTTTATTGATAGTGATACCTTGATGATAGAAGAAAAACACAAGTTACAAATCTAATTATTAGTAAAACAATTCGTTTAGATAAAGATGACCGAAGATATTTCATTCCAGATGTTTCAGATAAGTATGTAGAAAACGGAAAGGGCTTGGATTTGGTTATGTGTTTATGAAGGCTTTCATATCAATAAATGATCGATCAAAAGTTATTGGTGAATTAATATGAGTGACAAAATCAAATGGATGTTGGAATTAATAGAATCTGACAAATGGATCTCCTGAAGCTTTGGACTAGAGGTTAACACCATCAACCGCAATATTTTTTTGACCGATTAACTCTTTATTGTTGTTTACCTAACTAGAATACATATAAAAATAAATACAAAATACCAAAACATAATCTATATATTAACATATCTATAATGATGAAATAAATATGGGTAATGCTATATACTGCGTTAGAGTTTCCTACCGCTTTAAAGAGTTGATACTCTTTACTTTTTTTTTGGATGGGCTTGGATGTGACTTATGACTAGTGTTTCTATTCGTAATACAACTCGAATTATTTGTATTCAAGTTATTCGTTTTATTCATTTTACTCGAATAGAAAAAAATAAATTGCTATTATCACTATAAAGGGAAAAAATCAATCACTACAACTATTATTTATTATTAATTGACTAAAGAAAGTAAATAAATAAATTTTACTACTGCTACCACGATTATTATTATCACTACAAGGAGTACCCGAAGGAAAAATAGATTATTAATAGGATTGGATAGTACATATTACTAGACTAGTATTATATTATTATCCGAATTTGCCAGTTAAAAATTTCACGTGATTAAACTAACCAGTTAAAGAATTTTTGCGCGATGAGAACTTAAATATTAACGCTAAAAATCAAAAATAAATACGTAATTGATAATTTGGAAATACGTGTAAAGTTGGTGTGTTTGTTTTTTAAAATATAAAAACGTGTGACGAAACCTGCGAAATCATTTTATAGCACCTTCCATCAATTAATTATATAAATATTTTATCCATATGATGAAATTTCTAGAGTTAAGAAACAATCACTACCCTAAAATATATTGTTACTAAAGATTTTCCTAATTGTAATTAAACCATTTGTTGTTTATCAATATCATAAAGAAGAAAGAAGAAAATACAAGTTTAATTCTTTTTTGATGCACTGCTGGGTTATATATAGTAAAGTTTATTGTGTATAAAAATGTTATCTACATGTATATATCAACTTTGCAAAATCAACATCAACCATATTATTATTGCTATTATTATATTATTCCCACAAATATTCGTAATCCTCATCCTCGTAATCTTTTTCTTCTACAACTTCAACTTCTGTATCTAATGTAACACCCTTCAATTCCCAAACCAACCCTTCTTTATCTTTTCTTCCAGTTGATCTAACTTTATGATCATCATTAAGATCACATGTATAATAACCATCAGGACTATATTCATATGCATGACCAATAACTCCATCAATGTGATTACGAATCAATTGATTTGTTGCTCTAGTTTTATTAGCGTATGCCCCCACAATACTAACGCTAGTGCTATAATCACATATTGTACTTTCCATAAGAATATAAATTTTAGCTTTTTTAAGTGAATTGATGTAAGCAATAATTTTTGGTGGTATGTTAACAACACGATACCAAAATCTAGATACTAAACGACAATTATTTATTAAAGTTGGAACAGGTAAAAATGAAAATATGTGTAATAATAATTCTGGT